AAGAAACCTCCAGCAGAACCAGGCTCAGTGTGAGCGGCCATCTGCAGAGGCCGACTGGGGTTCAAGGAGACAGAAGCAGAGATACAAAAAGCAGCTGTAAAAGGCGGCTCCATCCAGGAAACACACAGCCAGGCAGACTGAGTCTAGATATTCTCTATTCTCCTCTGCATTACATGGCAGATAGCTACATTTGGATAATGAGATTCTTCCAACCATTTTAAATCTCTCTGCAAAGTGAGGCTTTAGCTGAAGGAGGCAGGGGTCCAAAGAAATTCAATGACAGCTAAATTATATTTGTTGACCTACATGTTTTATTGGGATATGTAAAATATGTCAATGAATGAGTGTACCTTTAAATAATTGACAGCCTGAGGGATGCTCCAGTTATGACTCTGCAGAGCAGCTCTGCACTCCTCCATTGTAACGCCATGCACTGCTCCTTGCACCTGTTAACAGTGAGTGGAGAACATGTTTGAAGTTTTCCCTTTTTTTAACAGACCAGGGGCCAAAAAACAACTGGAACAAACTGATTTAGTGTATAAAAAAGAACAGACAAACTATCAAACATATTCCTGAAAGGTAGGGAAAGGAAAAAATGATATATTTTCAATGGTAATCATAATTGTTCATTTGTATAATAAATTGAACTGCGATTGATTTTAAATTAGCCCACAGCACTTTGAGGCTTTCTTCCATTAACATTAAGTGATGATTATTTTTTTTTCTGTTTTAATGTTCAAATGTTATGTAGAAATTAGGTCACATCTGCAGCTTTGTGAGAGCCGAGTTCTGCTAATTAAAACTCTGTTGATAAATGGATGTTGCTTCACTAAACCAGGTCAATTGGTTATTATTGTAAAATTAGAGGCGTCTGCTTCGCCTGCAGCAGATCCTGGCATTTGTGGGATCGTCAGACAAAGACAACGATTTGATGACATTATAAGGGCATGTTCCCTTACCTCTGTGATGCTCTGCTCCTGTTGCATGCTGGGACCTGCCGTCTTGCTGTTGTTGTTGTTGTAGGAGGAGTTTGGTTTGGCTCCGCCCGGATGCTGCTGCTGCTGCATAATGGGTTTGACGGCAGCCATGTTTGCCACCCCGTATCTGCTCAGAGAAGAGAGACAGATATCTGGTGTTTGATTAATTGTTTAGAGTAGGGGTGAGCAATTCCAATTCCTGAGGGCCGGATCCCGCAACTTTTAGCCACATTTACACTACCTTTTTGAAACCGTGCCAAGATTGGTCGGAGTACGGTAACAGAGATAACTGTTGACTAAAAATGGCAGATAAAACTGAACCGAACCGTGCCAGACACAACCAAACTGCACTAAACTGGTACTAGTTCAACAGTAGGTCTCTTGGCTCTACAACGAAATGTCACAATTATAACCAAACTTCCTGAACGTTATGGGCGCCGCAGTGTTGATTTGCCAGCTACCCTCTGGAGAGCAGTAGTACCGTAGATTGTCACTCGGAGGTGAGGAACCCTGCTAGTGTGGTGTGTAAATGGTCGTAAGGAACCGACCTCGGCACAGATAACTGATCCAAGCTCGGTCCGAACTCAACACGGATCGGTTTTTAGAAGGTAGTGCACTGCAAAAACTTTCTGGAAATAAGTAAAAACATGCTAAAATTAAGTGCATTTACCCTTAATTTGAGCAGGTAAATAAGATGATTTGCCAATGGAATGAGTATTTTTTACCCTTAAAATAACATAATTAGATAATATGCAC